TAATGAGAATATTAGAAATATGGTATCGTAGTATTTATTCAAGTGAATTAGGATGGAATATTATTGTAATACAACAGTAGTGACGATGTGGAGGAGGCGGAGGGATAGAGCGGGGAGGAGTGATGACTGACGGGAGCAGGGATGAGTGGAGATGCCAGCCAGTACATTACGGGTGTACAGTATTAATTGTTTTTATAGCTCTTTTTGCATTTTAATATTAAATACTGTACATTACGTTTCAACAAAACTACAGTGAACCCTCACTTTACGTGGTTAATTCAACCCACGGCGGCCCGCGTAAAGTGAACAACATAACATATGGGATTAATTGAAATAGAGACCGGGCCAACCCCCAAACTCCACTTTTTCAGACACAATACCTACGTTGTAGTAAAAATAACTTCTTAATTTTATGATGGTATGCACACACAATTAATAATTAAGAGAAATATCAATAATATTAGGTTTTTAACACTTACATTAGTAGAAAAGATGGCTGGGCACACGGGGATGGGGGGTTGGTTCCGAGGCAGAGGGCAGATTATTGGCCCTCACCTGTATCACTTGTATCAATTGTATCACTATCCACCTCAGAGGCTTGCAGGGCCTCTTTGTCAAACCCCTCAAAGTCCATATAAGTCCATATCCTCACTATCATTATCACTATCACTGACTTGGGCCGGCTGTGGTGGGTGGCGGGTGAAGAACTCGGTAATGTTTTGATGACTGGGCGACCTTGTGTGCACCCTGCTCGCGCCGCTCTCCGCGTAAAAGGGTACACACACCGCGGAAAGTGAGCATTCCGGTTTCGCCAGGGTACCGCGTAAACGTGGAAACGCGTAAAGTGGGACCGCGTAAAGCGAGGGTTGACTGTACTATTTATTTCTGAGAATATGGAAATGTAATATTTTTGCTGAAATGACGTACGTATTACAGTGGAAAGTGGGATAAAATTGTGACGAAAGTAATGAATATATTCATTCAGTCACAGTTAAGGTAAAATATACTTGTGATGTAATATTTTAATGAAAATACGGTATCGTAGTTTTTTTTGTTTCAAATTTAATTAACAAAGATTGGTGTTTCAAATGTAATGAACAAAAATTTATGTACAGTATCTATAAATAAACTTTAAAAAAATTAATACTTTAATAAATTAACTTTAATAAATGAATACTTTGTTTTACATCGTCCTGTGCTACCATACCATGGCTTTGGCTACTTTGGGCTCGCAAGATATCTGCCCTGGCAACTGTACCGACACTCACAGCTGGTGGTGTGTTGGTGCATCGTTTCCATTGTTTACTGGTAAATATTTTTCAACCTAACGAAACTATTACCCATTTAGAGGTCGACCCCCAATTTTTGCCAAATAATTTGGTCTTAAAAACTCGAACTACACACAGGTATATACGGTAAATAAGGACATGGGGGGCCAGGGATTTTTTAGGGGGGGGCAGCAATAGTACACGGATTTTTAACATTCACGGGTATCTCTGTTACCTAACCCCCACGAATGTTAAGGGCCGACTGTAATGAATATATGTCCTTAGGCCATATTTATATAATATTAATTGATAGCGGCTAGTACATGGTTGGTGAGTCAAGCGGTTGATGGGTGCACAAAAAACTAGTTCCCTGTACTTCATATATTATCAATATGTTAATTAATTTTAAAATTACTAATAATTTTAATATAAAAAATGCAAAAATATTAAAGAGCACAACTTTTTTGATATTTACTCCACTGGAAACGAATGTAAACATAGAACAGATTTCTGAATTGGCAGACTAGCCGTCAGCTCATGCTCACAACAAAACGTGTTTGTCGTAAGGATTTCGTTAATCAAAGTTTTGTTTGTTAACCGAATTAGATCCTTATGGGAGGTAATTCCTTAATCGAACCGTTTGTTAACCGAGGGATCACTACAGTATACTGTACAGTACTGTATATCATACAATGTAGGAGATAAACACAGCCTTGTCTTACTCCCTGTCTAACTGTGAACCAATTAGAGTTCATTGTTTACAAACACTGCAACCTCCTGATGCCAGGCTTGGAAGATGCACCCTGATTTTGGAATGTAATTATAGAAAAAAATCTTTTTATACTTACTAACCGACACCAGTGAAACTGTTGCTTGATATACAGCCCTTTTGGCACAATTACACACACCTCTTTGAATATCATCACTTAGAATTGCTCATCAGTCGTCATTTTCATAAATTAGAAAAAAAATCTGTTTAAGAAGTGGAAATCTTTAATACAGCACTCATTTTCTACACCTGGTCACCTTCGCATCTAGCGGGCTGTAGTGTTTACATTCTTTCTCTTGTTTTTGTCGGTCTGACAATGACGGAAAATATTATCCAACAGTAGAAGGTAAGAAAATGTAAACATGTACTGTATATCAACGTCTAAAAAAAAAAAAATCTAAATTAAAAAAAAAAGTAAAAAACAACTCGGTAAAAATCGGTTGAATTAAAAATTTTGGTAAGCAAACAATAAAAATCACAAAAAAGTAAATCTCTAAATATCATGTCCAGTAAAACAGTCAAAAGCATTTTATTCATCTTCAAATCCTGAGAAGTCGTCACTGTTGGATTCATCACCAAGCTCTGGATCATCACGGGAGGAAATATCATCATCTTCACTACTGTCAGTCTCGTACAACAAGTTGTCTTTGGTGCCATCCATAGCATTACTGATACCACATTTTTTGAAAGACTTAACGATAACTTTAGTTTTAATATCACACCATGATGTCAGCACCCATTCACACACTTCAGTTATTGATGGACGTTTCATCCTTCCAGTCGGCGTCATATCATGATTCCCCTCTATCATCCATTTATTCCATTGCTCCCTCATGTTATTCTTAAAGGGCTTATTAATGCTGACATCTAGCGGCGGTAACTGGGAAGTCAGGCCACCAGGAATTTGTGCCAGCTGTGTGTTGAGCCTCTTTGCTAGCCTTTTGGTGTTTTCAGTCCTGTGAGCACTAAACTGATCCCGTACTAGCAGTGAATTCTTTCGTAGCAGGCCACCAGGACGCTTGGACCACCTTCTTCATCCATCCATCCCTTGGGTTGTACATGGGCAGCACATGGGTAGACTGCAGCTGACAAGTGTGCCGAGAGATATGTTCCATATTCTGCATTGGCCAAACGATGACCATCATTCATATGGATTGTTTACATAGTAAATAGGGGGTGGTCTTAATACATCACCATCATTAAATTAAAGCGGAATTTTGCAGATAATGAAATTGTAAATTGGGGGTACCTCTATTTGTTGAAGCATAGTAGTAACATTATAACTTCAGTGTCAAAGAAATTCACACGGAATTACCAGTAGTGTGGGTTACGAGAAGAGAGGCATAATGGGAAGTCGAGGTTATGTTGAGAAGGATGAAACCACAAAAGTAACCAGTAGATGGCAACACCTACTGAGTATGCAGTTATATGCAGTACAGTATTTCCTTTCTCTGTATCAAGCAAGAATGTCTAGGAATACATCTATGCTGACATTCCTTCACAAGTTTGTTCCGTTGTTGATATTCCACCGTGTCATCATGTATAATGCTCTCTAGTTAGCACTTTACATACTGTACTACTACAGTATTGTATAGAGGTTAAGCGCACTGGCTTGTAATTATTCGTGCAGTGGCAATTACCCTTTTTAAATGCTGTACAGGACTCTTATACTGTACGCTAATTTCCTGTCATGAGGATCTCTTGTTCAAACACACACCTGCTGAAGAAGATACTGAGGGGTTCTAAGAGTGCATTGCATAACTATTAATAATCTCAGATGCATAATATCAGCTCCAGGTCTTTTATAAACCTTGAGGTTAGAAAATTTAATTTCTATTACACTCTTCTGAGAACCCTTTATACCTCTAATAGAAAAACAAAACAATGAAATGCTGTTTCTTATGAAGTAAAGAACGAATAACAATAGTAATCTGAACACACCAGAGGAATGTGTAAGCCAGAAGTAAACACAACAAACTTGTATGCCATTGACATTACACAACTGTATAATGTTATTACTGCTCTTTGACAACTAAGCTCTTTTAGCATGTAACTAGTTTAGTAATTAAACTAGTCCATCAACAATGATAATTATTGAGAGAGAACCCGTTGTGTGTATGCCAAAGTAAGCACGCTTGGATGTGTTCATTAATCCAGATTGAGACATACCTGCACAGTACTGTACAGTATTTATGAATGAATTTAAGGCGAGTTTACCACCTTGCACCCCTGAAAATTATATTATCATGTCGCTGATAACATCCTTTACACTTCAGACATGTAAATTCAGCTCGTAAATACTTTTATGTCACTACCCACACTATTTCCCAAATCTATCACAACATTCGTGTTGCTACACGTTTTTAAAACAATGATTTACTGTACACTTTTAAAGGGGGGCTAGCATGCACAACCACGTACACTAAATCAGTCTTTTTTTTCCATGATGAAAATTGCACTCTTGGTTATTATGATGAAATAGAATTCAATCTATAGAAAGATAAATACATTTAATAGCATATAATTTTAAGATGGTACCAAATGTATGGATAACACCTTGGCTGAACACAGCCCAGCCACAGAACAGTTTGTCCTGATCCCTTATGCCAATACAGTAGTATGCATCAGCTGACTGCTGTCACAAACTAAACATTCAAGGTTCTCTAAGTACAGTACTGTATACACTTCAACCAGTGAAGTTGCCACCCTTAAGACTAAGGGTACAAGACCACAGCTCTCTGCTCCATACATTTTTGGGCTGTCTTTATAAATCTTCTCAATCTTTGGTTCTTTGGAACCAGATTTCAATTCCATTTAATTATTCAGTAAAATCTAATCCTAGAAAACAACAACTGAACCAGTGAGTTAGTATTATATGAACAATTATTGCTGGCTTGATACACAGCCAATCAAATTTAGAAACCAACCCAGATATCAACTAATTTCCTTGACTCTTGCTTCAGGCATGCCAAGGATAATGGGTATCGATCATGGATAGTGAACAGCCGCATCAGGAGTTGGTGAAATGTGTGGTTGTGGGCGACACAGCTGTGGGCAAGACCCGTCTCATCTGTGCTCGTGCCTGCAACAAGAAGTTCTCGCTCTCCCAGCTGCTCAACACACACGTGCCAACAGTTTTCGCCATCGACCAGTACAGGATATACAAAGAGGTCAGTATATGATTACTGTACATCACAACTAGCAACATTTAACTAATACTTGTATACAGAATTTATTATAATATGCAGTCAGGGTGTGGCAGCCAAGTGGATACAATACTCACCTCCCGTCCTAAGGTTCTTGGTTTTATCCTGGGACACCCTTAGTCTACCCAGATGGTTGAGAGCAGTTCCAGGCATGTTGCCACCTTGTGGACCATGTTCTTAATATACTGTAGTCCTGTATCCACATACTCCTTAATGCTGTCAAAGTCTCTCATAATATGGTCTGCTTTATTTTAACCATGATTTATATTACAGTACCAGTACTGTACAGTAGGTACTGGTACTGTAATAAAAAAAAAGTGTTGTATTCTCCCTCCTCTGGGTAGTATTGGGAAAATTGCTTTAGTCCATATTATCCTGTAATTAAATAAATTACGCTTTGCCGATAGTAATGTGTGGTCTAAAGTCTTCATTGTTTGACACACATTACTTTTTTATATTCTCCATAACCGTTCTGAGAAAACTGTTACTACAAATGTAATAAAAACTAATCCGTTTAATTTTTTTATATACCCTGTACTGTACTCGATTCAGAATACCCATACTTTTGTGTAAAGTTCTTTTAATTAATTAAATATTCCAGTCCTACACATACTGTACATTGTACACAACACCTGTGTGGCAGTTAAGCCATCACTATAATTTTCTACAGTTCCTTGTGCCATTGTTGTACTTATAACAACCTTGATTGTGAGTACAGTTTCAATTATCTACTGTAGTTGAGATCACTACATCTAAGATCAAGACTTACTGGTACTGTCTAAGAGTAAGACCTGCCTCCTGAGACTGATGCCTTTAGAAATTGAGACCAAGACCAATTGCAGTTTTAGTATTTACCGTATTTATATGCCTGTGTATAAGCCAAGTTTTTAAGTTTTTAGGATAATTTTTTTTCACAAAATTGGGGCATTATTTGATTTGATTTTTTTATGCCCTAATTTTAATTCAGCGACATATGTCCTAAGCTGTTGCGTCACCAGGGATGTAATTACCACGATCAATCAATCATTATGATCAAACACTCTAATGCAAACTTGGGGGTTAGATCAGTTACAATCTGTACTCTGCAATAGCCTGTCAGGATTATAATGTTGATAAAAGTTATGGTACTCTTCATTATGCCTAAAAGTGTGTGGTAAAATAGAAAAATATACTGTTCTCACCATTGAGAGACTGGCTTCTTTGTGTTCCCTTTAGCATTGCATTCTTGAAACAAGTACCGAGGTATCTTGATATTGGGATCAAATTTTGTTGTCGTCTGTCACAAAACGGAGAGTAGATTGTCGCTGTTTAACCCATTTTGAACCTTAGACTTGTTAAAATTCATGAAAATGAATGTTTGTTTGTAAAAGTAAGTGGAACCAAATAAGCATGCATACAGGTATATTGCAACCTTCTCATGCAGGTGTGGATACTGATCTCGAGGCAAACATTTGTAGAGTTGAGTACTGTATATTACAGTACTTTTCATAAATTTTGAGTGAAGCATGTCACAGGTTTGTAGATCAGTTAGTTTTAACTGAACTTTTGGCTCAGTTTCACCAGAAAATATGAAGTGTTTACCATTTATCACAAGAGGACAAAGATGATCACACTCCAATAGTATTGGCATTTATTGTTTTGTCTAATATGGGTCTGCAGTCAGAATGCATGTGTGGGACATGACTTGTCCTGTAACCAACAGAAAAACAGGTCTACTGTTTCTGTAATTTGTTTAGTGGTTATGAATTTCAGCAATCACACACATTGATACTGCAGTACAGTATATGTATTTTTCATGGAAGATCTGAAAGGACATATCATTGCCCTGTGCAAAGCAGTTTGCACTATTAAGGCACAATTACTCTTACAAATTGCTTTGCCATTGAGCAGTTGTCTTTACACAGAGTACATGTCAGCCATTCTTCCTGCCACTCATTATAACCAGTTAAGTTCAGTAAACCCTTAAACATTGCAGGGGTTAGGTTAATGAAAATACCGCGAAGTCCCAAAACTGCAAAGCTCACCCACGGGAAGCTATGGGAAGCCCAAATTGCCCCAAAATGAAGAAAACCCACTCCAGGTGTTCGAAATACATACATTAAAATGAATAGAACAGTTAATGTAAAACAACAAAGCTCACTATAAAGCAATAAAAATATTGTATGGTAATATAAATATGCACACTCAAACCATCCTTTACTAGCTGTAAAAGATGACTTCTTTTGCTCTTGACTGTCACCGGCCATACCGGTAGCACCTCTAGCCAGGCTAGCACCACCACTTGCACTCACACCTGCAGCACTGTCACCTTGTGCACTAACATATATAGCACTGTCACCATGTACACTAACACCTGCAGCAGTCACCACTTTCACTAACACCTGCACCACTGTCACCACTTACACTAGCACTTTCACTTGAAAAACATTCATAGAGAGTCTTAGCTTTGTCCTTGATAAATAGAGTCAACACGTACATTACAGCAGTTCATATCTTCAATCCAAATACAGAAAGCCTTCTCCATCTTACTTATAACAGGATCTCTAATATGCTGGCAGCTTTTATAGCACTCAGGGCAAATCACTCACTGTCGCAATCCCACTACCCTTTATACCTGGGGAGTGAAACCTACCCCAAGTTATTATCAAATAAAGGAACAAATAGGGAACACGGCAATAATTATCCCCACAAAAACCTACTCAACTAAATGTACTTGAATAAGTATGAACAAGTTGAAATAAGTAAGTCACAAAAGGGAAGATAATTAATAAATTCAATTTATGTTCTAAAGGGAGTACTGACTATAGCAAACAAGAATTTAAGGGAATAAGTAATTATATATTAAAATAAGGGTGATGCCGGAAGGGTGAAAATATACCGTTAAGGAGTTAGACCAAACGAATATTACTTAACATAACTATATTACACAGACATACAAAATATATACATACAACAATCCCTACAAAATAGTTATTTCCTACCAAACAGGAGATTCCTTACCACCAGGATCCCTTCCTAGGCCTAACTAAACGTGTCACTAATACCTGATACCCCTAGGGCATTGCAGAATACTGGACAAGGCACTAGACAAGGGTCAAGGCTAGAGAACGAACGGACACGTCTACCATATGCCACGGTTTTTCGCTACTGGGGAAGCGTGCCCACGCGGTGGAGGAGCACGTCTCATATCACGTGATCCAGGACATTTGCTAGATATTTTATATAATTAATTAATACTACTCTTGATTTGACTTAACAGAGTAACACAATGATGCATATTAATAACATACATAAATATACAATTAACCTAAGTAACTAAGAACAATAATAATATAATAAGTACAATTAACAAGTTAATAGCTTGTGTGGAATAGAGGCGTGAACATATGCCTCACGCCATGCGAGTTCCCGAGCGCCACAGGCACGTGACACTCACGAATCTCCTTTTCTTTCTTTTTTTATATAGCAAATGCTTGACACGTTCATGCCATAATGGCAACCAAAGGCATCACAGCTCAACTTATCAAATACAGTATACCCTAGCTATTTACAGGTTTGTGATTCACGGTTTCGACTATTTGCGGTAAGCAGATGGTGGCTAGCTTACGAGTCTCTCCCACAGCGCAACGAGTCACCCCCACGTGCCCGCTGTGTCTCATCTTCCTTGTTTGCGCTCAACCATTGCCTGTGTCACAGCATCTCCTGTGTTGTACTCAAAATTCTGTATTTGTGTGAAATGAACCCTAAAAGACTGCCTCGTGTCAATGCTAGTAATGCTATTGGAGTGAAATGTAAAAAGCAGAAGTCAGTGATGACCCTGACAAAGAAAGTTGAATTAGACAAGTTTAAAGAGCGGATGAGTGCTGCCGCAGCTGGTCAGTTGTTTGGTGTGAATGAATCCACAATGCGGTATATAAGGAAGAATGAACAAGCAATTCATGATTCTGTTAAAGTGAAGGCTCTTGCAAGTGCTAAAGTGGTGCGGATTGTACATTACAAGAACATGGTGCAGAGGACCAGCACTGCAAAAATGTGCTGATCAACAGCAGTGTGATTCAAGAGTCTTTATGCCCATTTTTACGAGTCACCAGGTGGTAAATGGGTTAGTGCGGCTACTGAACAAACTTTAAGTGCCAGTAAAGGTTGGTTCGAGAATTTTAAGAGAAGATTCTCCATAGTGTGAAGCTGACTGGGGAGGTTGACCACACAGCTACAGATGCATTTCCTGCAAAATTAAGGAAACTAATTGAAGGGAAAGGCTATAGACTGGAGCAAGTGTTTAATGCTGATGAATCCATTATATATTGGAAAATGATGCCAGGTACAACATACATAAACAAGCAGGAGAGGTGTGCCCCTGGGTTCAAGGCAGCCAAGGACAGTGATGCTCAACTATGTGGCAGTGCAGCTGGCCACATGATCAAACCTGGCATGCTTTACCACTTGGCAAACCCTAGGGCTTTAAAGGGAAAAAAACAAGTACCTTTTGCCAGTTTTTTGGCAGTCCAGCAAAATGGCATGGATAACTGTTCAAGCCTTCCTGGATTGGTTTCATACATGCTTCATCCCAGAAACGGAAAAATACCTTGCTTCCAAGAAGATGGAATTTAAGGTGCTGTTATTGATAGACAATGCACCAGGCCACCCAGAAAGTTTGCAGTTTAGCCATCCAGGTGTAGAGGTGGTGTTCCTACCCTCTAACACCACTTCTCTGATTCAACCCCTCAATCAGGGTGTAATACGCACCTTCAAGGCATATTACACCCTACGCTCTTTTGGTCTTATCTGTAGTGCTATGGACGCAGACCCTGACCTTGATGTTAGCAATTGTTGGAAGGAGTACAGCAATGCAGACTGCATTATCAAAATCTGTGAATCATTCAATGACCTCAAACCAGAGACAGTGAATGCTTGTTGGTGAACCTTATGGCCTGAGTGTGTTAATAACTTTCAAGGATTTCCGTCCATACTAAAGGATGTGAATGACATTGTGAGCAATCCGCGTCATTTGGTTTGTGGGCATGGCCGCTGAATACATGGAAGAGCTGATTGATGGGCATGAAGAGGAACTGACAGAAGAGGACTTGGAAGAATTGGTAAAAAGTGCTGAAGAAGATGAAGAGGAAGAAATCATAGAATTGCAACAAGAAGGTTGGGGTGAATAATTTTGTGAACTATTTCAATAGGTGAAGGTGGTAATGATTTCATTGTTGACCACGACCCTTCCATGGAACGGAGCCTTAAGATCGTCCGAGAAATCAACCAAGTTTGGGTTCCCTACCAGAAAATGTTCAAAGACCTCAAAGCCAAGAGGAAACGACTACCAATCACAATGTTTTTCAAGAAAGAACCAGCCGCTCGCCCAGCTGATTCGTTTCCTTCACCTACTCGGTCAGCTGCTACCGCCGCTTCAACGCCCACCTCCCCGCCACATGCCAACCCACCACCCGCCTCTCTGCCATGCTCCTCTCCACCACCCGCCTGTCCACCAACCACCACTGCATCATTCTCTTCCAACAGTGATCTTGATGATCTCCCTATGCTTCAGTAACCAGATTTCTCCCTACTGTACAGTACACTTCATCAAGCTCCAAACTTTTACATATGAATGTAAGAAGTATTGGTGACTTTAGTTTCTCATACACAGTATAGGTATACAATAATGCATTAAGGTAGTATAAGTTGCTATTTGCGGTTTTGCATATTTGTGCCATTCCTTGGAACCTAACCCCTGCAAATAGCAAGGGTTTACTGTAACTCCATTTTCTCCACTATATTCAGCACCTTCCTTACCTTGGCAGGCATGCCAATAGAGTCTCCAGCAGGTGCAGGGTGTTTACAAGGCATGGTGAGAGAGTAGCAAAAGGCAGTATAGATACATAAACAACAAAGCTCTTCGTGGGCTGGCAGTGTGGGTAACAGTGAGGGTGAGGAAGTGTGGAACACCTCCACTCCACTGCAGAGACCCCTCACTGCCAGTAGTGGAAGTTGTCACTCGTGATGAACAAACTCCCTCCCCAAGCAACTGTAATGCAATCCACAGAGGGGCAAGGGACACGATGTTCAAACCTGCGAAGTTTAAGGGTTTACTGTGTCACATCTTGCTTATTACCAAATTGTTTTTTACATTGATAAACTAGAAATGACTCAAATGGTTTTTCACTAGAGCACACTTCCTGACTCCTATGTTACAAATGAATGAAGTACAGTATTGCAGGATATATGTTTTTCTGCTTATAGATATTTTCAATGACTTCACAAACATTTTATTTCTATTGCACAGAGTTGGCTTTAGTCATGAATGTTAGCATTTTCATCTCGCAAAAATTTTCAAAAGGAATTTGTATTTCAGGTTTTGGAGCGATCCTGCGTGGTAGTTGACGGTGTGAATGTTTCCCTCCGTTTATGGGACACTTTTGGGGACCATGACAAAGATCGACGTTTTGCCTATGGCAGGTAAGGATTGTGAGACAAACAAGGGATGTTCCTGTGTTATAGTGGGAGATGGGGTTAAATGTTAAGATGTTACAGTTTATTTACTGTACAGTAGTATTGCGCTTGAAAAATATGGAACCATAGGAAATTCTTTGCCACTCAGATTGAAAGCCAAGTCTTCAACAACCATGCTAAAACATAGTTGCTTCATGATCAAATGTCATTACACCTTTTCACATATCTGTTGAGACATTTTCACATAACTATTTGACAAATTTTATAACCAAATGACAGAACACATATCGAATGACAATCTAAAATAACTGTTCGTTAATGCTAACGGAAGTGATTAACATAAGTTATGAAGTTGACAGACGTGAACAATAAACCGACAGTCTACATATAGTTTGAGAATGTAACAATTGGAGAATGACATACCACCAACAGTTATTTTAGATTGTCATTCGATATGTGTTCTGTCTTTCGGTTATGAAATTTGTCAAATAGTTATGTAACAATGTCTCAACGGATATGTGAAAAGGTGTAATTATAAAATAAACCTCACCACTTACTGGAACATAATTTCCTATGGGACTATTAATTTGTCTTTACATGCTTTTGTTTAGGATGGTACTTTTTAGGAACATGTCTGTTGTTAACATAGGAATTCTAAGGAACATAATCTATGAATTGAGGAATTCTTGTATTGCTAGTAATGGGATGCGCAGGGGCATACCCAGGATTCTGTTATGGGGGGTTCCCAGATTGTCCGAATATAAATAGATACAGGGCGAGCGCAACAAGCTGAGCTTATGACTTGACATGACCCAAAATTCCGCACACAAGTATGTCTTATAATCAAGCTGCTTGTGTTTGACCGCATTAAGATTAAATATGACAGGTAAGGAGGGAGATGATGGCAGATCAAAGACACTTAGATGAGCAGCGTGGGCTTCGAGGGGGTTTCCCGGGCAACCAGGAAACCCCCCTGGATACGCCCCTGATGCTCATTATAACATTTGTTATTGCAGATCCGATGTGGTGCTGCTTTGTTTCTCAGTTGCAAATCCGGTGTCTTTACGGAACTGCCGGGTAATGTGGTACCCGGAGATTCGACGGTTTTGCCCCAACACACCAATTCTTCTTGTAGGCTGTAAGAATGACCTTAGGTACATCTGCAAAGATGAGCAATACCTTAGCTACTGTCAAGACAGATCACCTCTAGTCAGGTAAGTGATAGAATAACTTCAGATTAAAAAGAAATAAAATATAATTTTGTTAGAGCTTTAAGGGTTGATATAAGAACATAAATGTTACCCCTCTTGTACATGGTTCTTTATTTGAGTCGGCTGTATGCTGCTCACACAACTCATGGCCTTTGCTACCCTGGAATACGGTACAGTGGTCCCTCGGTTAACGAATGCCTCGGTTAACGAAATTTCGGTTAACGAATTACCCTCCATAAGAATATTCAATTCAGTTAACGGAAAAATTTCGGTTAACGAATTCCTTACGAATTCCTCTCACATTGTTTTCGCTTGCTCACCAATACAGTAATCGGTTCTAGGGCTTAAATTCGTTCCCATTTGAGTAAATATCAGTAATTTTCCAAGTTTTATATTAAAATTATTAGTAATTTTAACAATTATTTTACATAATTGAAGTACAGGAAACTAGTTTTTTGTGCGCCAAACAGCCACTCAACTCACCAAACAGGCGCCAGTTTGTATCTCTGGTCAGTAGAGGTAACATCTTGCTTGAGACTCTCTTGAACATGAACTATTTTTACGTTTTTACCGTACAATTATTGGTCATTCTGAAGTTTATTTTATTGTATTGACAATATATAGTGCAGTGCAGTGTTGATTTAAAGAAAATAATTTTGAATTACACCTAGTGAACTTAAAATTTTATGGGTGAAATGACGGCATGATGCATGGGGTGATTTCTCTTCCACCCCCACTTCCTTCTCTTCTCCCTTCTCCTCCACCCCCACTTCTAATTCCCATCATCATCATCATCAACCAGGAGCCTTCTACATACACACCTCAAAGTAAGTGTACTGTACTTCACTGCCTTTTTTTTTTACTTTGTATGTAATTTTCGGTGAGCTGGAACCAATTACCCAAAATCCCATTGAAACAATGGTTTCGGCTAACAAAATTTTCAGTTAACGAACGACCTTTTGGAACGAATTGTGTTCGTTAACCGAGGGACCACTGTATAGAGACTGAATTTTTTTCATCTATATGGCCTTCACTCCAATGTATATTTAAAGGAAGGTTGTCATACTGTACTGGTAGAATCTACTGTAGATTTCTGTTACCGTACTGTTTTTTTTTTTTTTTTTTTTTAGGTAATAAGACATTATGTTTCTTAGGGGAAATTTAAATACAAGTGTGTACTAAATACAAGACACACTTAAGACCCACTATAGCACTGAAATATCGGAGTATATACTCCCTGAAATATCACAGTATGTACAGTCTCGTTCAAGATTCTTCGAACACTGCTGGAGACAGCTGGCAACTCAATTTCGTTTGTTCATTATAGTACGTAGTATAATATAATACGAAACAACAAAGCCCAACCATCAATTAAGCAATAGGAAACTAAGTACTTTAGTACTATAGTAAACAAACGGCCTGAGTTGCCAGCTGTCTCCACCAGTGTTCGAAGAATCTTGAACGAGACTGTACCTGTAGTTTATTCTAAACATTCCCACCCTCTAGTATTCTCTTCTTTTCTCTTGTTAATAGATTTTTTGTAAACTTCTTTTTTCAAGTGTTCTTAAAAATTTGACATCCATTACTTGGGTCTTCTTACATATTCAGGCAAATATAATTAGTTTGCATTTGTTTCTAACATTTATTATATGACATTTATCACATCCTAAGTTAACTCTGTTTCTTTTGTGGCTGTGTTGTTTACTTAAGAACTTAACTGAAAATGGAACACAGTTCAGGATCATACTTCTCTGCACATAACAATTACATAGAGGTAGTTCATTCATACTTATTAAGATATACAGAGAGAACAGGCTGTGTATTATAACTATACAAATATGTTATTCTACCAATATTTTGATCCAAGACTGTAGTTCTACAGGTATATAAAATACTTTACTCACAATCATTAAAACTAATAAATTTTAGGAAGATTCCATTTGTATTTTGCTATTTTACCTACTGTATTTGTAAATACTAGATTTTAATAACTTTTGTTACTATTATTTTAATTCATTAGAGCTGTACGTGAGTGTGACCTGGTAATGCCATGTGAAGGTCGTGCAGTTGCTCGAGAAATTGGTGTCGAATATTATGAGACATCGGTGCTTACTTACTTTGGAGTAAATGAAATATTTGATAATGTTATCAGAGCCGCCCTCATATCCCGGAGACAACAGCGCTTCTGGATGACAAACCTCAAGCGTGTCCAGCGACCTACTTTACAGGTATGTTGAGTTTTAGTAATGAACTACCTTATGTGTGTCTCTCATTTTTGCATATAGAATGCTGACATGAATTGTGTGAAAAAACTTAATTTGAAGCAGAAAAATATTTATAAAAAATAAAAAAAAATAGGAAAATTAATATATTTTAAAAATTTTATAATAAGTTGCAAGGAAATAATGTATTACAGTACTGGTATATTTTTTCCCATGAGTTACATTATTAAATTGTATTTAGAATGAGAATTCTGCTGTACAGTACTTGGTCATATGTCAAGGGCCTCCATCATTTCTTCCTCATTACAAGAATTGTGATACATATATGCAATGACATCCTTTTATTCAAATTTTCACTGATTAAGTTACAAATTGGAATTGCAGGTGCCTTTCTGCCCGCCCAAGCCCAAGGTCCAGGAGCCCTCACAAGTGGTGAGCAACATGCGTGAGGATCTCCATGGTCTCCTCTCCTGTGCCGCCTTCACTGATCTGGTGCTGGTAGCTGGGGGCAGCACCACTGGGGGCGGTACCATAGTCCATGCTCATAGGTAGGCTCTCATTCAGATATTTATATTTTCTTGTGAAGAGATTTCCTTCTTTTGAACCTTTTCAGTAATATATGGATTACAGTAAATGTCTGTCTGTTTATTGATTCCTAATATGCCAGTCATGTTTAATTCCAGTATTACTCAGGCATAATTTCCTTTGAGCAACACTTGTCATTCAAACCAGCTCCTTTGAGCAGACATAATAAACCACCAAGTTTCTTTCATTTGTTTATGCTCACCATGAATGGCAGTGTCCTGCACAATGGCACTCAGTCTGAGTTCTTCCCCAACCAAACCGGGGTTAAACAAGGATGTGTACTGGCACCAACTCTCTTTTCCATTTTCTTGGCTGCCTTCCTTACTCGTGCTAGTGCCAATTTAGCCAGCGGGGTGGACATCGAGTACCGGGTGAAGGTGGGTCTTTTCAACATAAGATGACTCCAGGCAAGAACAAAGGTGTTGGCAGCTTCCATTACTGAACTTCAGTATGCAGATGAACTCACTCTTGTTGCTCACACTGAATGCAACCTCAAGGAGATCCTGAACAGCTACGCAGATATGTATGCACACTTCGGCCTTGAGGTGAATGTATGCAAGACTCGGATTCTCTTTCAACCTGCCCCTGGTTCAGACACACCTCCACCATCCATCCAGCTTAACGGTACTACCCTCTCTAATGTTACCCACTTTTGGTATCTCGGCTCCCACCCGTCCACCACCGCAGACATCGATGAAGAGATTCAGCATCAGATCAGATGTGCATCTCAAGCCTTTGGCAGACTCCGAAACCGTTTCTTCAGCTGTAGTGAGCTGAAATTATCTACAAAAGTTACACCTATATTGAGCAGGGGTCCTCCCCGCCATGCTATATGGCAGCGAGACATGGGTCACATAAAGGAGGCACCTCAAGGCACTTGAAAACTTTCACCAACGTAGTCTACTTTCCATCCTCCGAGTTTGCTGGGAAGACAAGAGAACAAATGTCAGCAATCCTTGCTGACACCAACTGTAGGAGCATCGAGGCTACCATTATTCATGAACAACTACACTGGACTAGCCATGTTACCCGCATGGACGGCAGTAGACTGCCAAAGTAGCTACTTTACAGACCTAACGAATAGTAAACGTAACTCCGGCGGGCAACTGAAAAGGTATAAGGATAGTCTTAAGACAAACCTGAAAAAGTGCCAAATCGACCCCCTCGCCTGGGAGTCGATTACTCCACATCGCAACGCTTGGAGAAGCACCTCACGAGAAGGTGTCAATACTTAAGAGTTAGCCCGATTGCAAACCGAGGCAGACAAGTGCCAATGCCGGAAAGACGCTGCCACCGCCCCTCCCTCACACGATGTAGCCCCCCACATGTGCAACATCTGTGAACAACACTGCTTGTCCCATATCAGCCTCTTTAGTCACCTCAAAACTCACCAATATAGGTGACATCCCTAATAACTCATATCATTGTATCATAGCTGGATGATCTTCATACTCGATCCCGAGTGACAGCAAAGTACCCTGTAGTAGTAGTAGTAGTGTGTGTGTTACAGTATCTTAATAGTTGATCAACAGAATTCATAAATGACTCCAGTACTCATTCAGAGATTGTTCAAATATTTATGTGTATATGAGGGTATGCATTTTTGTTTATGTAATGGGGTAATATTTTGCAGCATAAGAAAAAAGTTCATGGAACTTTTATTGCTCTTTTTGTTTCAGGTTCTTGGTGGCTGCTGCATCAACTGCCTTCCACAAGCTGCTCATGACTGACCTCTCTGACTGTGTAGCCACACGACGTAGTTCAGACTCCAGCATGGTGAGTTGTCTGTAAAGATGCACTCTTGCAAGACTTTTCCTGTTTTAGAGTAGGGTGCCTGGAGTTAAGAGAAGCATAAACCCTCTTATCAGTCTTTGTCTTTCATTTTTTTTTAGGCCTCGGGCGACGTTCTGGAACGTCCGACCAGCACGCCCCGGGTGACGTTCCAGAACGTCCACCTATTTCCTTTTTTTTTCTTCGATTTATTCCGAGGGGTGCTGCCAGCAGCACCCTAACCCGGGGCTTAAGGGTTAATAGTTGTGTTCTGCTATGTTGTTCTCCTTCTGAAGCACAAGCCCAAGATTTCTGTCTTGTTTACTGCTGTTTGTACAACCTACCATCACTTGTCGACAGTACTTTCATCCCTACAAATACATTGGCTCCCTGCTTTCTGGTTATGAATGCACATTTTAGTTTCCTTGATATCCACTCCCCTTGTATCCAGTACCTCCTTTACCTCATATCTCCATCTCCTTGGGCTTCCTTCATCTCTCCTTTAACCCACTTTGAAACAATCTATTTTTTTTATAGATCTCTCATTTTCTGTTCTCTTATTATGTCGAAGATCCGGATCCGGGAAATCCAAATTTCAGAAGATCCGGACAAAAATTTTTGGGGTTCTGGGCTAAGAAGCCTCCTAGAAGTTTCCCTAAGAAATATTCCCAAACCATAGCAAAGAACATTTTAGGGCCATGGACACTGCTTTACCCGTCAGTTGCTTGGACATAGGTGCCTGAGCAGGTGGGAAACATAAACAGAGTTGACAATTGTTGTTTGTGGGAATATTATTTCATTCACTCTAGTAATGATACAATGTTTCTTATTATGTTATCATAGGTAAATGTATGGTTTATATATGGTAATTTGTTTATCACTGCATTAGTACTGTATTTTTGGTTTCTTATATCATTTATTATTCGCAAGAAAATTCGGACAATCGGCTTTTCCGGACAGGTGGCCCCCCTTTTAGCCCGGATCTTCGAGGGTTCACTGTATATGTCATTTCATATGTATGTCACTAACAAATATAGCAAGAAATTTTCATTATAAAGGAATACCTCACTATTCTCAAACCCACTTATTCGTTCGCAATTGATATTTTAATCTCCACATTCAATATTTGCAAAGCGAATTAGAAAAAATAATATCCGTGGAAATGGCACATTGCCATAAAATAAGAAAAATGAAGAGCATGGGTTTGTATGTGTGTGAAGTGAATGTTCTAGGTCTTTTAACCGCTGATTCCGTCTGGGTTAATGAGGCCGGAACATGTATGTTATATAGGGTTTTAGTAGCGAAACCCAATTGTCTGTTATCCATTTATTTAGGAACTATCTAGGATACAGTTCCAAGTGTATATCACCGTAACTTATCACTGTAGCTATGAGTGTTAAGAGGAGGACGGAGGCTATGTTAAATAGTCCTGAAAAATATGTCCGGTTGGTGTGAGGGGTAACAATGCCCATGAATAGGAACCCATCGAGGGAGAACGGAAATATGTACGTCGTCCTCCCTCGAGGGAAGACGGAACCATCCAAGATGGCTCTCAATAACGTCAAGGATATCAAACTACTGCCCGCATTAGGTGGCCAGAGAGCCGGCTACTTAGTGCCTTAGCTCAGCGCAATATGACACGGCTTCCCGTGGGCACACCTTATCACGTTCTCTGAACATGCTACCTCATAGCTAGTGGAAAATTACAGAGGGTGAGGGAGTATATAAATCAAATGTAATTAACCCATTTATATAATACTTCTGCCCATAAGACAGGAGCTATTACATCGCTCGGTCACACCATCCAAGCTCCGCGAGGACTAAACTAAACTCGCAGATAAACATCCTATACATAAGCCTAGCCATGTTACAGACATACGTGTAAACACTAAGCTGGGGACTCTGGAACCGTAGGCTCAGCAACTACTGGCGTCCTAGACTTAAGTGTCTTACGGGCTAGTATCTTATGTACAATGGCAAAATTGGATGATTCTGACTTAAAAGACAAACATTACTGCCAATATCAACACAATAGTGGAAATCGTTAACTTGGGTAAGCAAATCCCGTAATAACATGGTAGAAATAATCTTCGCCTACTTCGTGTTTAAGAATGCACCTTCTAAGCATTGTACAACTTTTGCTACTATAATCACGCTGGATGAATGAGTGTGTGGTGCTTGAGACTCTTCCGGTTAAACATTCATTTTTATGGAGAGCAATGGTACTGAGTTGTGAAGGGTTCTACACGGTATGGCTGAAAATTTCCAGTCTGTGATAATTTACTTTAGAACTATTATATTTTTATTTTGAAAAGATTTGTCTATGACATCATTAAAATATGCAGTTTGAAAATTATGAACATTATTATCCTTCCTGGGATCAAAAGAAAGTGTCCACATTTTCTATGTCTAAGGTTTGAAAATTTTTTTAGATACAAACCAAAGAAATAACCTTGTCCATCCATTTACAGGAAATTGATATAAATTATATTTAAAATAATTAAAATATCATTAGCTGAACAGGTGAAAAATAAATACTGGAAGTTATATTACGTCATTATATAGTAAAGTAAATAAGTAGAACACTTATAATACATGATAGTATAACCTACACGATGTCTAACAGTGTGAAGTTATGTCATCGAATATGTAAATGTGTGTATATATATTTAATGAATATCTAAATACCTATTTACGGAGGTGTTGGTCGTCGTTCTTCACAGTCGTAGCACAGCTGATCTCAGGTGGGGGGGGGGGGTGCGGGGTGCTTCAATCACCGTCGAGCTGTCTGTTGCTTATCTTCGTTGCGTAGCAACTGAGTGATGCTTCAAGATGGCGACAGGCAAGTCCACTTCACTCCAGGGAGTCCACTATCCACCAAAATTGTTGACTGCTGGTCTTGAGGTCACTGGATACGTCCAACACTGACGAGATGCTGCTCCTTCTGTGTGCCAAACCTTCAGAAGCCCTGTATATATAGGACTTGCTGGGGACACCTGGAGAGTGTACAATCCTCAGTCACGAACAGCCACAACAGTCTGCTTAAACAATGGTGTAAGGTTCAAGTGTTGCAAAACCTTGAAGCTCATAGGTATGTGGCAACACTCTAAGCTCCGGGCACAGGATGCTGAGTGCTGACCTCGGGAATTCTTCACCTCCACGCCTTGTTGCCAGACAGGGGTGTTGCCAACTTTCCATAAGATAGAAAGTCATCAATAACTCAGAATCGATTATTGGAAAAAAAAAATTTGTACACCTCTGTGGATGACAAAATAAAGGTCACCCAACTTATAATGCCTCACTACGGGATACCCTAATACACTTGGATGCAGATAACACGTCACTGTTTTTTGTTTTTCTGTTATCGTAAAACACTTATGACTTGTTTTGGAGAATGTGTATCTAGACCGGTTTGTCGTTATTCCTAACCACTTGCTGCCACCTTTGTTCAGTTTTTTTTTTTTTTGTAACAGATGTAACAGTAGTATAACGGTTTCTTTGTAGATCCGCTGCCATGACGTAGATAACAATTCTTCTTCTTGACCAGTATGCCACAGTAATGGGGAGAACATAATATCTCTACCTTTACCAACTGTGTATATGGTGAGATGACCGTTAGTGTGATATAACAGTTACTTGTGAAACTGTCATATATGTAACAACCTTCCTGGGTTGTCACCACTTGTAACAATCACTTGAGAAGCTATTTCGGATGGAGTTCCACTGTGTATTACCGTAGGTTCATCTCTGTAAAATATCTCAATGTAGCTATTGAGATGTTACGAGATGTAACATGAGATGGACGGAGGCTATGTTAAATAGCTCTTCTAAGTACGTCCTGTCGATACGATAGTTGAGTGAGGGTGAGTAGAGACCCCTCAAGGGAGAACAGAAATATATCCGACATCCTCCCTTGAGGGAAGACGGAACCATTCACGATGGCTCTTAATAACATCTTCCTCTCGTGAGTGATAATGAACTACTGCCCGCATTAGGTGGCCAGAGAGCCGGCTACTTAGTGCCTTAGCTCAGCGCAATATGACGCGGCTTCCCGTGGTCACACCTTATCACGTTCTCTGAACATGCTACCTCATAGCTAGTGGAAAGTTACAGAGGGTGAGAGAGTATATAAATCATATGTAATTAACCCATTTATATAATACTTCTGCCTATAAGACAGGAGCTATTACATGAACATATGTGTACTTGGCATGTGGGCAAGTTAGACTGTCCATGGTTACATCCCTCTAGCTCTCCCACTACAAGGCCAAGCTGTGTTATTTTTAACCTCGCAATTTCGGGTAGATACTGTATACTGTGAAGTATGTAATTTTTTTTTTTTTTTTTTTTACATTCACACAATTGTTCATACAGAATGTGCAAAATAAAAATTATATTACAGTATTATAAGGTCAAAAGCATAAAGAGAATAAACATTTCTTACGTCACCGGGTGTTTGTGTTCGTTTCATGGAAGGGGGAAGCGGGAGGGGGGTGCAGCATCAGGGATCTCAGCCTCCCCCTAACAGGCCAAGCTGTGAGTTGTGTTATTGTTATTTTTTAGCTCGTAATTTTGGGTACGTATACGTAATTTTTTTTACTCTGTTACATGCACACATAATCGTCCAACAGAATGTGAAAAAAAAAATATCATTAAGTCAAAAACATAAAGGGTATAAACATTTCTTACGTGCACGTGACTTTGAGTTAGCTTGTGGATCGTGGGTGGAGGAGGAGGGAGCAGTGTTCGGGGATCTCAACCGCTCAAGTGTCCTGTGTCCCACATGCAGTTAAACTGTTGCCAACTGGCAATGTGGTATTTTTTCATATGCTGTACTGTATTTATTAGTATAATTTTTATTTATTCCTCACATTTATTGGTATTACAGTATACATGCGACCCTGGTCCCTACTAGCTTTAGATAATGAGGAGTGTATATGCTGGCTGGGAACACATCCTCCCCTAATTACATTGTTTCTTATGGAAAAAATTGCCCCGATATTCACAAGTTTGTTATTCGCAATGACGTTTATAAATGCACCCTTTGAGATAAATGGGGTATTCTTATATGTCAATTGTTTTACATATACATCATCTGCATCATCCACTGTTTTATACTAATTTCCTGGATTCCTAAAATGCGATGCATAAATGGTGGTAAAACAATCTAATATGATGTAAAAGTAACCATATTAAATAATAAAAGTATCCTACAAGTGTTAACTTTCTACCACGCCAAAATACTGAACTGTACAACAGTCACCTCGCACATGACTGCTTGCTTATACCACTGTTATGTAAGTAACCACAGAATTTAAGGAAGTTACAGGGTGTCCTCGCTTAATGTCGGGGTTATGTTCCTTGAAACGCGACGTTATGCAAGACAACGTTAGTGGATCAATTTTCCCCATAAGAAATATATAAAATATAGGAGTTACATTCCCCAGCCTCCCTTTGCCCCATGAAAACAGTTACATATACAGAAAATCATTGCCATTGCTATAGAAAATAGTATATAGAACTACAGTACTCAGTTTGTATTGGTACTCACCGATGGGCGAGGTGTTAGAGCGAGTGTGTGGTGGGTAGTGGATCGAAGAAGGAGGATGGCAGGAGCGGAGGAGTATGGCGGGAGCGGAGGAGGAGGGCGGGAGAGGAGGAGGAGGAGGGTGGTGAGTCGCTGAGACTCTGCTGCTGCCTCCTCCTCCTCCTCTGACTGGGGTTCCTCCGCCACTGCTTGCTCCTCCTCCTTTGTTGGAGGGAATGTCTCGACAGCAAACGTATCTGAACTTGCAGCTTCACCAGTCATCTTTATGTTATGGAAGTTATACCGATGCTTAAATCGTTGAAACCAGCCTCAGCTGGCCGTAAAGGTCTCTTCCTTCGATCCTTCACCCTCTGTTTCCTTCATGCCGTCAAACATGGATCTGGTCTTATGCTGGATAACCATAAGGCTCACAGGAGCATTGCGTTGATTCTGGTCTTCCATCCACATTGCCAGCATTTTTTCCACCTACTCTATCACAGTGCTTCTAGTACGAGCCGTCTTAGTAGCACTCGGAGAAGAACCACTTCCAGCACTAACCTTAATCTTTTCAGCGTTGGTCAGGATAATACTCACCGTTGTGGGGGTTAGACCAAGCACAGCGGCTATGTCCACACCACGTTCCCCCTTTTCAAGTTGGGTTAATACATCCATTTTATAGCCAGGGTAATGGTCTTATGTTGCCTCTTTACTACACTAGCATCAGTAGCACTTGATGGGTGCTTGGAAGCCATTTTGAATGGTTAGAGTACAGTTTTAGAGCAAAAGCACTTAAGCACACTCGAATGATGTGAATTCGTAACAGAGACTGGCTTGGCGTCGCTTGGGGACGCTGTGACGTTCCGCGAGTGAGGGCAGCGCGCTGAGCCGAGAGAGCGTAGTGCGGCCAGACAAGAGCGGTTGATGCGCCGTAGAAAGTAGACTGTGGCGACGCAAAACGACATAGTATCGGATCACAGGGGATGTTAAATGAATTTTTGGTCTCTAAAGCTTAGCGACGTAGTACCAAAATAACGTTAAGTGGGACGACGTTAAGCGAGGACTTACTGTATTTCAGTGTACGGTGTGCCTTATGAATAAAGAAAATTCTTGTACTGAATACAGTTCTGTACAGTAATATAATTATATAAGATAATAAAAAAATAAGTGTGTCTGGGTGTATTGTGTATAGGAGAATAACGAGTCTAGAAATCACCATAACACATGAGTTCCTTCCCTGCTCCCTCAGTTCTAACAACACCGTGACCCCTTTAAAACATCCATATGCAATTTCACCATAATTCCCATATTATTTAGTCAAGCCACCATGTATTACTTAAGGTAATGAATAACATTGTTAGGAAGGTACAGTATCTCCATATCAGATATTATAAAGTATAATGACACCTGTTTTAAGCTGATTTGCTGAAAGCTCTCTCTCTCTAGGAACACATCCTGAACTTTGAAAGGGTTTTACTTTAATTCTGAAGGGGAAAAATTCCTCATTATAAAAGTTTCATTATAAGTCGCATTTCTCTGGAACACATCCCTCACATATAATGAAGACTCCCTGTACAACCTTGGCAAATCATTACACTGGGGAACACACTTTCGGTTGCATGAGTTCTGACACTTGATTCTGGTAGATTTGAGGTCACAGATTCTGAAAATGGCATTCGTTTGTGCAGATCAGGTCTAAATTCAGCAATCAGGCCTGTGCCCCATTCAGATGATGTTCCAAAGCCTATCTTCACTCAACTTGCTTCCTTTGAATCTGACAGTGAATATGACACTGAGGTCACAGAGGAGTCAACTAAAAGAAATAGTGACTCAGATTTTGCAGGCATATCAACAGAACCGCAAACATTTAGCCAAGCAGAACTCAATGACTTAGTTCGAGATCTGGGTCTGTCTAAAAAGCTGTCAGAATTGTTGGCTTCACGGTTAAAAGATAAAAACTTGCTGAAAATAGACACAAAGGTAACATTCTTTCGCAACAGAGAAAAGAACCTCTTACAGTTCTTTGATTCTAAATTTGACTTCGTCTACTGTTGTGATATTTCTGGATTAGTCACCGCGATGGGAGCTCCAGGTTATGATCCGAAAGAGTGGCGCCTCTTTATAGATAGCTCTAAGCGGAGTCTGAAGTGTGTTTTATTACATATAGGCAACATCTTTGGCGCAATACCCATAGGACACTCAGTACACCTGAAAGAAAAATATGAACACATCAAAACGGTTTTGGAGCTACTCAAATATGAAGAACACAAATGGATCATCTGTGTTGATCTAAAAATGGTCAATTTTTTGCTAGGACAGCAAGGTGGGTATACAAAATTTCCTTGCTTTATCTGCCTCTGGGACAGCAGAGCCAAAGACAGACACTGGATTCAGAAGGAATGGCCAGTTAGGGAAAGCCTCAATGTTGGGGAAAAGAACATCATTTATGAACCCCTAGTGGAACGTGAAAAAATTGTTTTCCCGCCCCTTCACATCAAGCTGGGCCTTATGAAACAGTTTGTCAAGGCGCTCGATACTGACAGTGACTGTTTTAAGTATCTGCGTGAAGTGTTCCCTGGTTTAACGCTAGAAAAACTCAAAGCAGGTATTTTCGACGGCCCTCAAATTAGGACGCTGATTAAAGACCAAGCCTTCACTCAATCCATGACTGATGTTGAGAGAAATGCATGGGGAGCATTCGTTTCTGTTGTAAGGAACTTTCTTGGAAACAGGAAATCAGAGGACTATAAAAAGCTCGTTGAATCTTTGATGGAAAGTTTCCATGTGTTAGGTTGCAACATGAGCATTAAGATGCATTCCCTGAACAGTCATCTTGAACTGTTTCCGGCAAACTTGGGGGACGTGAGTGATGAGCAAGGTGAACGCTTTCACCAGGATATCAAAGTCATGGAAGACAGCTATCAAGGTCGCTGGGACATTCACATGATGGCGGACTATTGCTGGAGCATTCAGCGAGACTGCACTGAGAGGCGATATTCAAGACAGTCCATTAAACGCAAGTTTGTGCCTGAATAAATCTGGCATAGTTCACAAAAGCAACTGATGAATCCAAAATATGCTTGTCAAGGTAAATAAAAGTAATTAAAAATTAATTCTAAGTGTTTGGTAATTCCTCTCTGTGTGCTGGTTTAGATTTTTAGCAGTAGTATATGGTAGTCTAACTATATATAGTAGTAAATGGTAGGTAACTCACCGCAACAAAACTAGACCCGATAGAAAAAAACCGGTGCCATATTTGAAATCAGTGACCTCAATTTACCCAGAAACAGGTCTCAAAATGTATGCAACTGACAAAAAGTTGAATTTTGTTCCCCAGTGATATTAGTTCTCTGTAATACTCCTTTTACTTCTACATATTATTTTCTAATACCTTCATTGTATTTATTTCACCCCATACATTACAGTACTTTCATGCAGATCATTTCCTTCACTTCCATAAGTCATGATCTGTGACAATTTTATCAAATACCCTGCAATGTGCCTATTGATTGATCATAAGCTTCAGAAAAGAGTTGGTAACATTAAGCGTAAGTAAATGGTAACAATAGAATTTTGGGAAAATATTTATGAGAATAAACAATGCAATCAAGAACATGCAAATAATTGTTTTTTTACTATAAGTGTGTAGCACCTGCACTATCTTAATACTGGACTGTACTGTAGCTCCAGCAGCCCTATACACTATTCAAGGTCTAAATCTTTTTTTACTTTTCTTACAGCTGAGTGGAACATTTGGTGACACAACTCTAGGGAACTTTAACTCAGATACAGAATGTCTTCTTGGTAATGATCATAATCAGCCACGGCCTGCGAG